TGTCCCACAGGACCCTTGGAATGCGGTCCCAAAGGCGAGTGTAAGGCGGGCGCAAAAGAAACTTTGTAGAGACCCTAGCCATGATGAAAACAGGGGTTCGAGCCTCCTATCGAGCGGCCGGGACCCAACCACGGCACACTGCATGCATGTTCCAACCCCGCCGGATGCCGAGTGCAAATGGGGCAGGCAGGCAGCCTGCAGCCCAACAGGACCCAAAAGTCCATCCCCCCGGAAATCCCAAAAAAACCACAGGGGGGGGGAAGACCAACCCGACGGGGGATTCCCCAAAACCCCCAAGGGGACCTCAGGGAACCCAGGGTCAGCCGCAGCCACTTTCTCCAAACTGTGGCCGGTATGGCCCGTCCAGCCAATGTGTGCAGCCTTCCGATCGAGGCAAACCGGCAGTCGTGGCGTGTTGAACAGGGGGGAAACCAAGGTGAAAGATGAACCCAAAAGGAGAACCTTACTCCTCCCCCCACCCGAGACGGGGCCAGAGGCACCCAAATCCCGGTGGGAAGAGATCACACGACTCCACATCCAAAAGGGTTGTGAGACACTACCTAGCGGCTCTCACCCCTCAAGATTGCCTCCTTTGCCACCGAGTGGATGGCCGCCAGCCCCGACTTCTCCGGGTTGCTCAAGATGACCGACCACAAGGCAGTGGAGACATCCCCCAGGCCATTCGAGGAGCTGAATCGCATACGCGGGGTGCTCGCATCTCCAAGGACTAGCCGCTCGTCCCTGGGTGGCTCCGTCGGCTCCACCCGCTTGTAGAACTCCATCCTGTCCCGGATCCACTGATTATATAGCTGCTCCGGGGGCTCGTCCATCACCAGGCAGGCATGTGGCCTTGTCCTTGTGCCACCCCGTGATCTGGAGCAGCCTGGTCCCCCCCGGCTCGCCCTCCAGAAGCCCTTGCACAACCTGCACATGTAGCCCCCGGTGGTCTTGAACTTCTCCTTGCCCACCACTTCCCATGCGCTGATGCTGGGCAGGACCAGGCCGCACTCCACGGAGGCCCAAAACACGTGCTTCGTCTCCTTCGCGAAGTGCTTGTTGATGTACTTCCGGCCCGCGACCGCCGTGACCGTGGACGCGGTGATCGGAGGGTACTGCCTGGTACCCTGGTCCGGCGTGCGGAGCGTGGTGTCCGCTCCCCCCAGAATCTTGGCCTTGGGGTCCGATTCCTTAGCCGCTCCGCCCCCGGGGCCAGAGGCACCCAAGGGGGGGGAGCAACCCATCTGCCTGATCATGTCCTGGGAGTAGCCCAGCCGGTCGTACAGGGCCCCCGCCGCCTCCTGCGGGACCTGCTCCACCCAGTCATGGACCACGTTGCAACGCCAGTTAACCTTGACCTCCACCATGGAGGACTTACTCAGGCCCGACACCAGTTTGGTGTACACCGAGTCGAAAGCCCTCAGCGATGACAGCGGAAGGGTGATTCGCTCGTCACAGACCGCCCGGAAGCGCAACGCCTCCTTGCTGTCGTGGACGGGGGCAACCGGGATCTCCATCACCGGCAATGGCAGTTAACGATGAAATTCTTGGCCGCCAGAAACGTCCCCATCTCCTTGAAGATGTAGCTCCATTCCGCCTTGTTGCTCGGCTTGGGGATTCCCAGGCTCTCCAGGAAGGGGACCGCCTCCTTCCTCATCTGGAGGATGTTGCCCATCCACTATCCGAGGCAGAGCCCTCCGCATTGCGGCCCCGTCGCTGCGTCTTCACGACCAGCGGGAATGTGGTCCAGGCCGAGTAGATGTACTTGAAGGTGAATCTGTGGGCGTACACCCCCGTCAAGCTCGGCAGGTCCCACGTTCTCGTCTGCCTCGTCCAAAACACTCCATCGCCCTTCGCCCAGAAGATCCCCACCACCTGCTCCGGCGCCGGGCGCTCGCCCCGGTTCACCTGCGCTCGGATCTCCAAGGCCGAGTAGATGATTGGGTCGATGTGGTCCCGCTCACACGTGAGCGGGTGCGTCCTGCGCTCCAGGGCCAGGAGCTCCTCCGGCGTGAGCTTGAATTGCTGGTCCGCGCCCTTGGGGATCTCACCGCTGGAGTGCTTCTTCCAGATCCCCCCAAACATCCGCAGCTCCCCTTGGTGCCTCTTCATCGCCCAGAGGAGCAGGGACAACTTGCCCTCCTCCGAGTCCAGGTCCTGCGGTGGCATTGACTGGTCCCCCCCAAACCAGTGGCACCCTTGGGGGGGGCCGGCGTCGCCAGATCGGGCATCTCCTCCAGCGCCTCCTGGTTCCATGGGTTCTGCGCCTCTCTGAGCCTCCGGATGTAGGGGACATACTTCTCCTTGATGTCCCCCACGTTGGGGATGTCCTCGGGGTCATCCAGCTCCAGGGGGCAGAACAGCCCCCTCTCCAGAGCCTTCCTGAGATCATCCGGCCATGCCGACACTTCCAAGGGCTTGAGGGTGTGGTTGAGCATCCGTGCCTGGTTGGTGTCCTGGGTGCGCTTGTTCGCCTCCTGCGCCTCCTGGATGGAGCCCATCGCCTCAGCCAGTGCCTGGCTGGCGTCAACGCCCTTCCCCTCCAGGTACTGGTCTCTCAGCTTGGCCTTGAATCGCTCCAGGTTGACCTTCCTGAGGGCCCGGCTCCCTCATTGGCCACCTCCTCTGACGGCAGGGCCTGCATGCCCTCCTGGAGAGGCGCCAGGATAGCCATCTCATTGTCCAGCATCTCATCCGTGACCAGCTCCTTGTGCCGCCGCCTGGCCGAGGACTCCTCCGGGGTTGGCTCCCGGTGCTTTTTCAAGGCCTTATGCAGCTCCTCCTTCTTCCGGATCGCCTGGTCCACCTGGGGGTGGTAGAGCTGGAAGCTCTGAGCCTCTGCCTCCTGCAGGGACCGCTGCACTTTGACCTTGACCTCCTGGCGCTCCCGGACCTTCAACGCCTCGTCGTCCGCCTCCATGGACAGGATCTCCTGCCGGATGTCCACCCGCCTGTTAAGCGGGACCACGTCTGCCATGGTGATCTCCTCTGCCGTGTCCGTTTTCGGAGGAGCTCTTCCCAGGACCGTGCCGTCCACCAGGTTGCGGTCTGCCTGTGCCCGGGTACCACCGGGGCCAGTGGCACCCAGGCTTCCCCCATCCCGCTGCTGGATCCAGGTCGGCTTGCCCTCCACAATGAGCAGGTTGTAAGTGACGCCGTCCGCCTCGTAGGTAGCCGAGGGTGCCTGGAAGGGGACAAACTCCTTGCCCGGGCAGACCCAGCATTGAGTGGCTGCCTCCGGCCACCCCGTGCCGCACGCCTTGCACATGAATTTATAGTCTGAGTGGCCGGCATCGAGTCTGTGCATCCGCTGGGTGCCAATGCACGCCTTGTTCCTCTGGAACTGTGAGGCCCAGACCTCCTCCTGCCGGATCTGGATCTTCATCGGAACATAGGCCTCCAGGATGCGAATCACCAAGTCCTCCGTGAGATTCTTCCCGACAAACTTGTGGAACAGGGAGACCGCCTCCTCCACCGTGACGTCCCTCAGCAACGTGGCCGCCGATGCCGGAAGGACCGGGAAGAGGTCGGGGAGGTCCACTAACTTGAAGTAGCCAGGACGGCCCTCCACCGGCACAAGGGAGACCGGTTTGTTCACCGGAGCCGAGGTCTTCTGGGAAGCCGCCACGAAACCCTTCAGCCTCTTCGTTGGTGGAGTAGCCTTCTCCGTGGCGTCCGCATCGTCCATGTCCTGGTCCTCCTCATCGGCGGGGCCAGGGGCACCCAAGCCGGAAGTCGGTGTGGAGAAAGCCACACGGAGACGCTCCAGTGCACTGGAGAGGTCGTTCATCACGTCGGTGGCCGAAGCCGACGGGGGGGCCTCGGGCTCGTCCAACACCAGGCCGGCCGCCACTGCCGCTTCGCGTGTGCGGATTTCCTGGGCCGCCTGGCTGGCCATTTCCACCTCCTCCGCAGTGAGCGTCTGGTCCTCAATCAGCTCGAAGGAAGTTGCCGAGGTTGCCGAGGAGGCCATTGCTGGTTCGGGGTTAGTTCGGAAGTGTTTCACCTCAAATTTTTCACACAAGTTGGGTTCAGAGAACCCAGGGCAAAGCTTGAGCCAAAATGGCATGCGCCATTGTGGTCAAGCATTGCCAACACAGTTCATGTTTCCACATGCGTTTCAACATTAACAAAAACTAACCAACAAACAAACAAAATGAAACACGACAACAAAACAACAACAAGCAAGCGAGCGAGCAAGCAAGGGAGGCAGGCAGGCAGGCAGGCAGGCAGGCAGGCAGGCAGGCAGGCAGGCAGGCAGGCAGGCAGGCAGGCAGGCAGGCAGGCAGGCAGGCAGGCAGGCAGGCAGGCAGGCAGGCAGGCAGGCAGGCAGGCAAGCAAGCAAGCAAGCAAGCAAGCAAGCAAGCAAACACACATGCGAACACACATAAACAAATACACAAACACACTCTCTTACTATTCATCAACAAATTTGACGGCAAGCATGTTGCCAAGTCAAGTCACAGCAAGTACCCCCCCCCCCTCCCCTTCTGGAAACAAACAACAACACAACACAAGGACAAAGTTCAAGCTCACATTTGGGTGTTCAATGTTTTTTTTCTATTCAGATCATGAAGCCACAAAACGAAAACGGCAAACCATGAAGCACGGTCAACGTTAAGGCCCCACATGGGACAACCAGTGAATCCCCTCCATGTCCCAAAAAACATAGACTACTTCTCACTTCCTGAGTGGATAGGCCATCAACAAACAGGTTCTTTATTCACCACCAAAATGGTCTCTGCACACTTCCTGAGTGGATTGGCCGCAACAAATCCGAACTTTTCGCTTGCCACCAAGATGGTCTCCCTCAAAAAGTCTAAAGTCAAGCTCGGGAAGTGAGTCGAATCAAAACCTGGTGTCACAATGGTCTACCCAGAACCATGTGAAGAATTCTAAGGCGTTCGCACCCATTTCGGTCTGGCATTTCCCTTACTACCCTCCAACTACCCTGGTATTGATTGTGACTCAAGTGAGACTGGAGACTTTAGCCGAAGGCTATCCTTCAAGTCTTCCAGGATAGCCAGAGCCACGTTCCACGGCGCATCTTCGCAACTGGCCAGCAGCCTGAGTCGAGTCTCTGGGAAGGTCTCCGGGACTGAAACATGAAAACCCTCCGGCAAAGCGCTTGAATAGCCAGCCGAAAAAGAAAAACCAGAGGATCCATTGATCTGAGAAGCAGCGGCCAACAAAGGTTGATGATTTTTCTTAGTTGTTGATTGTGTTTCTTGTTGTTGGTTCGTTTTTAGCTGTTGATTGAGCGCCATCTTCCAAGAAAACCACCCTTTAAAGACCAAAGGACCAATCGGGGGGTTCCCTATAGTGGTGACTGGGATTCATGGTGCGCCGTGCTTGCAAGTCGCTGCCCTTCTCTGTGCGTGTTAGGGAGCTGCGGAAACCTTTCGTGTGGGATATATGGAAAGAGAGATGCTCACACAACTAGGTCCTCCTTAGACAGAGGTTAGAATGTTTTAGTAGGGCAACCCTCCCCCAAAAAAGGGGTAAAAGGGCACTACTGGGGGACCTAGACAAGGTTCCTGCCAATTGGGTATGATACTGAAAACCTTTCACGACGCCTCCGCCCGCGAAACAGACACAGGCCCCAACATATGCTAGGCCGTGCCACAAATCCTTCAACGCCCTTCAGAAACTCATTGGTCTTCCGCAGGGTTTCCATTTTGAAGGCCCTTCAGTAGCTTAGCTTGCTCAGCCGCTTTTGTCGCTCTTTGGATTAAGCATGGGACCACTGGCACAAGGCGGCAACCTGAACATCCGACAATTCTCAACACATGCCGGAAAACACGCATACTAGCATCTACTTGGTTTCGCCCATAGGCATTTGTTTGGTAAAAGACATATCGATGACCCCACTCTGAACCAGTGGACTTACCAAGCTAGCCGATCCAAAGGACACCTGTGGATGGTTGCGAAATCCATGCAACGCACCACCCAAGAAACCCAACGGAATGGTCGGATTTTTCTGCAAAAACCAACAAACAATGGTTGGCCCATTGCTTCGACAGTATGGTTTTGCCGCAAAGAAACACCGACCCGAAAGGGAAACCCAAGATCTGCTTTTGATGGAGCCTCAAACCTCGCTCAGGAAGCAGCGACTGCTATATCCAGCATCGGAACCCATGGGCGCTAAAAAGGGGTCTAGCAACTACAAGAACTACATCTCCCCTGTTGGGTTCCCGGAAAAAATAAAAAGAGGGGACCCAACAAGGCATTTGTCAAATTAGGGGACCCCAAATGTCCCTGTAGTCCAAACAGCTAGTCTAGTTGGCGCTCAAATTTGGCTATGCGTCAAAATAGGGAGACCTTCCAAACATGGGGGCCGGCTTTCCTGTTCAACCAACAAACCGCGTAGCCTGAAACACCCCGCCGCGGGGCGCATTGAAATCGTCCACGAGCAGCGGCCCCTTCGCCGCGGAAAGCTCCGCGAGACGAAGCGCGAGGGGCCACTCAGCGGCTTGGCAGGCGCTGATGCAGGAGTTGAAGCTCACCCGGTCCTCACGGACGGTTTTCTTGCCATACCGGCATACCAACATACCGACATATACTATTAACACACCGGCAAACCAACGTACCAACCACGCTGCTTTTCAGGGGTCACAGGATTTCCCCGAGTCAAACGTTGATCAACTTAACAGGTGGTTTCCATTGGAAACTCACACTGTTGGAGAGAACCTGTTTCTTCCAGTTCCCACTAGTAGGAAAAACCAGGTGAATCTACCTGTTGGTTCTACATGATGCTTTCTCCCCGGTTGCCTACCACAGTGGGAACTGGATCCCCCAGAAAGTGCGGCAACCGTTTTCAGCGGAAGCCGAGAGCAAAGCCGCTGGTCCAGTTGAGAGGCGTGCCTTTCTTGGGGGTCACTGGAGATTTCCCCGAGTCAAAAGTTGCAATTGACTGGTGGGATTTTTGCATTGACACTGCTTGCTGTTGGACGGAAACCAACGGTTTTTTCTTGCCGGGCAGCCGGCCTTCCTCGTGATGGTTTGGGATGGTGTAGAGGTTGGGGTGGGAAACCTCAATGAAGAACTACGAATTCAAAGCCCCAAACCACTAACTGGGCGGTCAGGGTTCGAGGCAAAATGCAGAAAAACATTCCAGCACATTGATTTTTTGGCTGATCGGTGGATTTCGAGGACCCTGGTCAATTGAATGATTCTATAGTCTAGGGGTCGATTCCTTTTCCATTCTGTTCAATGGCTCTTTTCCATCATCGGATCCACTTTCCCTTTAAGACATTTTTCGATGGAAGGATCCCTGGAAAGAACAGGGAAGGTACCCCTAGAATAGTGAGTATCAATCAGTTAGCACACCCAGCCAACAGCAATTTCGAGATACCTCGGCAAATGAGTGAGCCGCAAATTGACGGCCAATCACTGGTACCTGTTCTATTCTCAAGGCTCCTTTTTAGAACATGGACCAAACTGCAGGAAGAACATGGGTGCTTTGTGAAAACAACGATTTGGGAATCAACTTGTACGGTTGGAAAGCTAGGGAACCCTTGAGGAAAACGCGTTAGCCAACAAACTCACAATCATGGAAGCCCATAGAACATCCCAAAGGCCCTTTCTTCCCGATGCTTCCTGGTTGAGCTGAGATTGCAGCTTCGGCTATGAATTGTGGGGGGGAACCCCTGAAACGTGGTTCATGTCTCTCCCCACTGAATTCTGATGCACTGAATTCTGATGAAAGGGTAAGTTTTTCAGATTAGGTTCCTCATTCGTTGGGAACCAGCCATGTTCCTTTGCTTCTAAAAGCCTTCGGTTGCCGCCTAATAAACTTCGCCTATAGGGGGTGGTCTGAGTGCCCACGAAAGCGCTAAAGGGGACGCCCCCCCGTGTGTCAAAATCAACCAATGGCTCAGCAGGGGAAAGGAAACGCTGGGTTTGTCAGACGCACTTCCGATCGAGTGGATGGGCCAAAACCAGCAACCAACCTATTTACCATGAAAACTCTCCAGACCCCAAACAAAAATGGCGAAAGTCCGAAACGGAACTCGTTGCGAAGTGGCCAATAAACGTCACAACCTTCTGGGGGCCGAACAAACAACTTACTTACATCCTGGTTCTGGGCAATCATTTGGGGAAACCCACCCCATTCCACCAAACCAATCCAACGACCCCTTTTGAAGTCTTAAGCTGAACTAGCTGGCTCTGACGGGACTTGCTAGCCTCTTACCCCTTTTTGATTTCCACTCCAGACCTTCAATTGGGGGTGTCTTGTTGTCGACGGTGTATGCCTTTGTTGTTGGATTAAAGCGAAACCAAAAGGACAACCGATGCCGTTTCACTCTGGGTCTAAAATGGTATCCACAATCGAACCCTGGGGGTGTGGAAACATGGACTAAAACCTGCGGTCCATATCCTGGTGCACCAGTTAATTTTTGACCCATACTCATTTTGGGGGGCTCAACCTCCAAAACTGGTCCAGACCTTCAAAAAGCGTCAGATGCCAGCCTGGTTCAACCCAAATTCACCAACGGGGACCTTCCAGCCGCGTCTCAAAAAGCCGACGACGCGACGCCAAAACGTCGGCGCAAGTCCCGTCCGCGTCGTCGCGGTGGAGCAGCGTGGCCAGCGCCGGCTGCCAGGCCCGCAGCTTCTCGCAGGCGCTCAAGGCGGAGTTCGCGCCTCGCGTCGCGCTTCGCGCTTCGCGCGTGGTCGGTTGTTTGAACCCTAACCCAAACGGGGATATGGCGCCGGGCGCAAAAAAAGCTGTATGACTTTTCCAGCCCCCCTACTGATTGAAAGGAGGAGAAGTGACAATGAGACAAACAAAATAAAACATGGCAACTGTGAAGTTCCGTTGAACCACTGAATGATTCGGCCAGCAGCCGGGTCCCAACAACTGCTTTTTGGACTGCCAGGGGATTTTGGACTCGGGAGAAAACCGTTGTTGGGGGGTGCTGGGGGGTGTCTTCTTTTGAGTTGCCCGTTTTGGTTGGAGATCTGGCGAAGATCAAGGTGGGAAAGACATATTCCAGAGGGCATGTTACCATCTCCCGGATCAAATTAATGGCCAAGCATATGTGAAGAGAACATGTGTGATCCCTGCATAATTGGCCCGAATCAGTCTCGCGATTTTGCCGCTTCCTCCCAGAGACATTGTCGAAGCCAACCAGGGACAACCCCTATCAAATGTTGCTTTGCCTCCTTTAAGTAGACACAACTTTGACCCACATTGACCTACACTTCTGCGCAGTCTTCGAGTACATCAGCCGAAGGACCGCCCCAGAGATGGACCGAGTCCAATGGGCTGTGAAACAGTCAGAGAAGCGGGGGGGTCCTTGAGGGCTCAACGACTGCCAGCTTGGCCTTGGCTTTTGCTTGCAGTGATTTATGTCTTGTTGGTGCTTGAAGACACATTTTCCAACAGGTAGGCCAAAGAACCACCAAATGCATTTCTTCCGTCAAACACTGCACCAAACGGAAACCAAAATATGATATTGGTGCAGCAAGCACGGAAGAAACAAATCCGCCCTGTGGGAAGGTAGCTCTTAGGGCCTTGCCAGTGCAGAGCCACATAGTTTTGGCGCTGGGGTTTAGACAAAAGACTCTTTATGACGCTGCTCCACACTTGGCCTCGCCTCAAAACAACCAAAAAACACAATGCTTTGGAGACCCCAGCAATGGGTTTCGATTGGAACATCGTATTTCTCATGTGAAGATCATCCCGCCAAAAGGAGACTCGCTTTCCATTGGCCTGAAAGGGGATGCTTAAAACCACCCTGCTGGGGTGAAATTTCGGAACCCTGTTCTTGGTTGCTGTTGACCGCTCTGCAAAAAGTCTTTAGCCGTTTGTGCGGTCCAATCTGGAAAATACACAAATCTGCAACCAACAAGTTGAAGCACACAAGTCCGAACCCAAAAAATCCATCAAGTCTGGCATTAAGCGGCATTTTGCGGTTACCCCGTTCAGTTCTTGGTTCGAGGGAAAACGCCGGGTGCGGCACCCGGTCACCCGGTCCCCTCGGCTCAGCTCGCCGCAGATCTGCGAGGGCGTCGCTGCGTGCTGCAGCTGCAGCGCCAGGTCCCAGCGGCTGCTTCCGATGGCGCCGGCCCAGGCCACCGCGTCCTTCAGACAGGTGCCATCGTCGCAAGAGACAAACGCCAGCAGATGCACATGGTGCGTCCTCTGTTTTCTTTGTTTCCTGTTGTTATTTAAACTTTCTCGGAAAGGGATGCGAAAATACCAGCAGTATACGGGTATGTCACCTCACCGATCCAGTGGATGGGCCAAAGGTATGAAGAACTCTTGGTTTACCACTAGAATGGTTCAAACCCAAAAGTGACTAAAGTCCAGGAGTCTGTGTTCACATGAGGTTTGCTCAAAATCAATAGTGTATGTTGGCTGGATCCAAGGCGTTGTACACGGTTTGACACAAAATCTGGCGAGTACAAGCGCGCAAGTCCGAGTGGAGTGTGCGAGTAAGGCGTGAGTGTGCTCGAGGTGCGAGTGGAACGAGAGAGCAAGCGGACAAGTGGACGCGTGACTCGAGCACTTGCACGCCCTACTCGCACACTGGACTCGCGCACTCGTCCAAAAGCCCCTCGCACACAATCAGGCAAATACGCCTGAAACGGGTACCCGTTTGCAGCTTCTTGGCTCCAGCTAAAGTAGACGGTTCATATTAAGGGATGAGCGGACCCACAAATTTCCATAAATACCGAGGGACTCGCCAAATGTCCCATGTCCTCTTGCGGGAAGAAGTACATTCTACCATGGCTCATGGTCTGCCTAGCATTAAAGGCGATTAAGTGCTCATCTTCTTGATTGTATAAAGCTATCTTCCCTCCTGGCGGCTTTGAGGGAAATCACCTGTTTGAGGGTCCTTGGACGCCACAACACACAAGGCCAACTTGGAGATATTCTCACATCTGTTTTTGGCTGACCGTTTTGCTGGGCCAGTTTTCAGGTCCCTTCCAATATCAGAAAAACCAAAAGGTCAAAGGGTCGGGTGTGTTATTTTTGTTGGGCTTCTTGTTGGGGATTCCCTTAAAACCAAACCAAAGGGGACTCTTCCCCCCAAAAAACACGAGCCGTCCAGGGCGATTCGCTTTGGGCAAGTGAGATTAAGGTTATGGTTGCTGCAACGACCCCCCTGCAACAAGTGAACTAACTTTTTGTGGGTCCAATTCGGAAAATCCACAAAGATTTTGCACCAACAAGACGAAAGTCCAAAGATCCGTTACCAAATAGCCGAAAAGATATAGCCCGGATGCCAACTACGCATGTAGCTAGCCCTTGAACCTTTTCTCATGGGTTTCTACAGGTTGGTTCCCTTGGTGGCCCAAAATCACGTGTACCAACATGGCACCAAAGGGTAAATGGCACCAAAGACGCAAACCCGCGCAACTGCCCTGGCTCCCAAAAAAATGAGCCATACATCCATATACTATGAAGGAAAAACTTGTGGTCCCGGTCCCCCGCAGAGAATTGTGGGCCTCGGATTCCGAGAAAATCAAAATCGAAACTGGAAAACTTGTGAAGATTCTCTGCAGCCCATTTTGGGGCGCCCCAGACTCCGGGGCACATTCAACTCGAAATTTCAACGTCCGAGGCGCGTCCAGGCGCGAGCGCACCAGCTGGCCCAGCAACACGACACCCGTTGCCCAGGGCGCTGCCATGGCGCTGAAAGCCACGGCCTCCACCTGGGCCGACAGCGCTATGGTGATCTTCCCGGGTTGAGGGTTGATGACAACCAACCTTTTCTTTTTATTGGGGGCGGGGGGTGGCAAACATATAGGGAAAACCGACAGCCATGGTAATTTGCCCGGGTTGTCATGAAAGCCCACCCTTTTTGGGGGGCAACAACCAACAGGGAAAAAAAAGAAGAAGCCATTTTGGGGGTCTCCACCAAAGAGGCACGAAGTTGATCCCCTTTCTGTTCTACATGGGTGTGATTTTAATAGAGCTGACATTCATGTCGTTCCCAATTCAAATTCATAGCTACATTGGGCAAATGGGTCTGTGCTTCTTTTTGTTGGTGAGGGGGCCCTTCTTGAGGCTGGGTAAAAAAGGGAAACCAGAAAAGGGAAACAACCATTTTGGGGTCTAAGAAAAGATACCCTTTTGGTTTGGTTTCCTTTTGGGTTTCCTTTTGAGCTTTACCGGTTTAACAGAAAACATCGAAGGTAATTCACCTCGCATGGTGGTTGCAATAATGAATCAACATTCAAATATAATCAAGTCTACAAATCTAAGAATGCTCAACGAATAGAATCTCAACGTAGTGGTGGTTTTGCAGTGGGAACCCATGGTCAAATAACATGTCCTCCTAAAACTAAAGCTACAGCTACAAATGCTAAATGACATAGTGTCCCAGCATTGGGACAGCAGTGGATTGAAATTGAACATGTAATGTCTAAGTGCAAGTTAAATAAACTTAGCCTACAACTACCAACGAATAGTGTTCCAACGTTGGGACATTCTTTTGGTCTAGCATTGGGAATGCAAGTCAAACAAACCTAAGTCTGCGAATACTCGGCAAATAGTGTCCCAACAGTGGGACAGTGCTGGTTTGGTATTGGGCATGCAATTTCTTAGTGCACTTTGAAGCAGTTAATAGCCTACAACGACTACTCAACGAGTTGTGTCCGCACGTTGGGACAGTATTGGTTTAGTACTGGAAAGGCCATTTAATAAATACAAATTCAAGGAGCAAGGCCCAACACATGCTAAACAAATGGGGGGCGTCTTTGTTGAGGCTCTCGTTTAAAGGAAAACCCTTCAGGACAACCATTTGGGGGTCCGATGCCTCGAGCGCAAACACACACACAAATAGTTGTCTGAACATGTGAGCCTCGCGCGGCCGAGGCTCGCCGGACCAAACGAAGCGATCCGACACCGGGACAGTCAAACGGCTGTTTGACGGTTGAAAGGGAAACAGGACACCAAGAAATCCCTCCCTAACGGGGGAGGTTGAGGAGAGTGAGGTATGAAAACTGGTGTTCCATTTAATCAGGGAAACCAACTTGCAGGGAAATTCGGGGGAACCGGGGCTACGGGAGGATTCCCCCTAAATGCAGGACTAAGGTTGAGATTTGGGAAATGAATTCGCCAAGGGGAATAATTACACCCCCGCTTGTTCGTTGGTCCAAACTTAGGCTTCTCTGCGCTTTTTTTTTTGGGACTTGGTCCCGGTGCGCAATCCAATCTGTTGGCTCTTGGGACTCGGTCGGCGGTTTGCAGGTCGCGCTTTGCGCCTAGCTGAGACAGTCAATGGTATATAGATAGGCGTTCCTTTCACCTTGTGCGCACAACTTGTTTTCGTAACCTTCCAATCGCTCGATTCCTCAGGGACTGACTAGATTTGGCTAGTGCCCCTGGCTGCACATAGCCCATTTACCTCATCTATGTCCCCTTGCAAAACAAAGGCCGATCTCATATTGCCCCCTGTCGTCTTAAGTACCTTTTTTTCACTTCTTGCCATCCCCACCCCCTTAAGAATGGAATTGGGAAGGGACCCCTGGAATCCCATTTCTGGTTCCGTGTTCACTTTTGCGGGGCAGACTGGATACACGGATTTGGGGGGGACCCCGGATCACGACTGCTGCGAAGGTCCGCCTGTGGCAGCCATGCCAGCGCGGTCTGCCATGGCGCCGAGGCGAGCGCCTGGTTGCGGCTCAAGGCGTCAGGCTCCACCTGAGCCGATCCCCGGCTCAGTCGCCCCGTTTGGACCTGGAAATCAACGGCTCCTGGGGGTCCCGAACCCTCAAACTACGGGGAAATCACCCTGAAATGTTGGAGCGGTAAAAAAAGGTTTGAGTGATTTTTGAGGGTTCAGGTTGACCTTTTCGGGCTTAAGTAATAATGGGAACCCAACAAAGGGGAAACTAAAAATTCAAAAGTCAAAAGAATGGTTTTAGGCAAGGGAGCCAATCCAAGCAGCTTGGGTCCTTCGCAGTTGTTTGGTGCCCGCCGACTGCGAGAAAACCTTTAAATCCCACTTCCTGGTTTCATTGATGGGTCTACAAAGGGTAAGGCTCGTGTGCGTCTTTACAACCATAGTGGGTGTGCTTTGTTGTAGGGGACCGCCCCCCCCCGCCCCAAATGAGTGGTTTTAACCTGTTGGTGGCCACTCAACACAAAGATACTTACCACCTCTTCAAAGACAAACCAACTATTTGGTGGACCTCTGTAGAAACCAATCCAAAAATCAAAGCGACTCAAAACCAAACCTATGAAGATACTTCGAAGACGCTTCAAAGAAACAAATCAACGGAAGAACATAACCAACACATGTGGGTAAATCTTCAAGGGGAAACTCAAGCTTGGTGCTAAGTGGGGAGTCTGGAAATATTTTAAAATACAGAATTCCCCATTCCCTTTTGGATTCCCTTCGGCTACATTGAAATGTTTTCTCATTCACCCGCAACAAAGAAACATTCATCTGGCGCGAGGCAAACCAAAACCCTTTCGCGAGCAAGTTGGCAGCGAGGCATTGGCGTTTTGACCCCCGGATGCCGTATACAAAGAAATTCAACCACATCCGACCACAAAATCCTGTTAAACTACGGCAAATTTACAAGGTTTCCAACTTGCTCCCGCAAGACGCCGTGGGAACAACTAGATCCTCAATTCTTGGTTGGTTTTGAAGGGAAGATCCCCCAACAAAAAAGTTGCGACAAGCTGAGGTGGTTCCCCAGTGACCCCTGGAACCCTTCACACTAGCCCGCCGCCAGCCCGCAGCCGCTCCGAACCACCCCAAAACATTTTTGGACACCGACCCGCATGGGCTCCAAAAAATGGAATCCACCTCGTACAGGACAATGCATGCGTGCAGCAGCCGAAAGCAACCCATGGTGATAAGACCCATTTGTTCGAACTCATTTTGTTAAAACCCATTTGGCACAACCCTTTTGTTAACACCCATTGGGTACAACCTTGTTGTTGAAGCACAGTTGTTAACAACCGTTTTGTTCGAACCCATTGAACGAATCGCTCGGAAACCCAGAGGAACACAGCTCAGCTCGCGCCTCTCGCTGCATCTGCCTCAGCACCTGCAGGGCGTGAGGCCAAACCGCACTGAGCGCGGGCTGAAATGTGCGGCAGTCCAAGGCCGCCTCGGTTGGCCGTCCCCAAGCTGAAGTAAGCTGTGGATGGTTGCGAAATCCATGCAACGCACCAGGGAAACCAGATTGTTGGTATTTATCAGGGGAAGCATCATTCCAGGGTGTCTTAGGTGGTGCAGGATTTCGTCCATCCACAAATCCACGGTATGGGGTGTTGGAGCCATTTTCGTGTCAAGGGAATCCCATTCACAGAGACAAAGTAGTGGGGGCGGTCCATGGCGCCACCGCAATAGTGAAATGCTCCACAACCAGTCTCTGGTTGGTTGGCTAGTTGCTTGGCTAGTTGGTTGGTTGGCTGGCTGGCTGGTTGGTGGTTGGTTGGTTGGTTGGTTGGTTGGTTGGCTGGCTGGCTGGCTGGCACTCTGGTAAATAGAAACAAAGACCAGAACCTGCGTAACCCCAGCAGGTTAATTTTTGAGCCACACCCATTTGTTTTGGGTGCTGTGTTTTTTGTATTTCCCTTGTTTTGAAAGGGAATCGATTTCACCTCTGGCAAAGGAAACCCTGGAATGGATTGTACCCCTGTGAATACCAACCAACAATGGTTTCAACCATGGTTTCAAAGTGTCCACAGTACGTGTATTTCTTCCAAGGGACCGCAAAGGGGGGTACTTGCTTCCTCCCCCCCTGTCCAACTTAGCCACCTTCAGCCTTTGTGCTGCCTCGGCCAACCACTTTGCGCGCAAGTGCGGAAATTTGCGCGATAGTACGGGCTGGCATGGGGCTGAAAATTCACAAAGCTTCACCTGACAGCGAACAAAAAGTGGATGCGGGCACATTGCTGGAACAAACGTGCAAACCCCAAGCCAAAACTTGCGGGCTTGGAGCTGTTGATGGAGGTTGGAGCTAGTACGCGGGTTGCAAAATCAATGACCACAAAATGTCAAGTCCAGGTGATAGGCGGCACTTGCGTCGCATGCCACATGTGCAGCTAAATGCCTGTCTAAACCAGGCCTGGGTTGAGCAAAAAGAAGGGCTAGTTAAGATGTAAGTCTGCGACAAAGGCCTTGTCGATGTCGTGCTTCACTAGGCGGTCAGACTGCTCAAGCACTGGATCTTCCACAGCAGCTGTTCATGGGTACATCCACTCGATTTTTGAAGCTTTACCAACGCTACTGGATCATTAGTGGCCGCTGGAAGCCCGTGAGGTTTCTTGGGAGGCTTTGGGCTACGAACAGGAAGGGCCTCTTATCTTGTTGACCCTTTATCGGTCAACATCTAGCATTGGCGCGCTGATACACGTCCGCAGCGAATATCTAAGGCTGAAACTGCACCGTTGACTGCAAGACAGGAAAAAAGTGTGCTGTCAAGTTTTCAGGTGGAATCGATTGGAAGGCGGAAGGGGCCACTCTTGTTGTGCGATAGTACCAGAAATTTGCTCGCTGGCATGGGGCTAAAAATCGACAAAGTTTCACGTGACAGCGACTTGTATCAACAAAAAGTGGATGCGGGCACATTGCTGGAACAAACGTGCAAACCCCAAGCCAAAACTTGCGGGCTTGGAGCTGTTGATGGAGGTTGGAGCTAGTACGCGGGTTGCAAAATCAATGACCACAAAATGTCAAGTCCAGGTGATCGGCTAAATGCCGTGAAGCTAAATGCCATGAAGCTAAATGCCATGAAGCTAAATGCCATGAAGCTAAATGCCTGTCTAAACCAGGCCAGGGTTGAGCAAAAAGAAATGCCCAAACAAAGATACCATGTGAAGGTCACACCCGGAGGTTCCGACTTTTTGCACCCAAGAACGAATTGGAGCACATGACCAGGGGAATGTCTAGAATATTCCCCCCAAAGTGACTAAAGTCCAACTCAGGATGTGAGGCTGGTTGATTTTAAAGGCACACGTCCTCCCACGGTGAAAAGGAAAGACCGCTGGGTGTGGGGAGAATCTTTCCGGTTGGATGGAAATCCAGGGCAGTCACCAGCAGGCAATGGTGTCTTTGGAAGTTCATCCATCCCAACTGGCGAAGCGGAGTATTGAAACATCAACGAGCTTGGTTTAGACTCAGAAGAGCAACCCACCATTCTTATGGTTCAAAGCACTAGTCTTAGTTTGACATCACCAAACAAAAAAAGCATCCCCCGTACTGTGGATGCACGAAATTCTGCACCTAAGAATGCCGCGGAGAAACCCTGGAATCATTTGATTCCTCAAAAAAACAAAAAACGTAGAAACCCTGGGCTGTGGGATGATCCGATTCCTCTAGAAGAATTACCATAGCTACATTCTGGTTTCAATTCGCTTCAGGTTTCAATTTCGGGTTTCCAACGGGCTGTCGCGTAACCCAGCCCCCTGGCAACTCACGCGCTCTCTGCCGTGCGGAGCGTCCCCCTGGCACCGCCGGCGCCGCAGCCTCGCCAGGCCCCGCGCCCAGGCGGAGGTCGCGGCGGTGTCGGCGGTCAGGGCGTTCCACGCCACGAGGCCCCGCTGGATCTGCCTCGAGGCTGAAACTGGCGGCGAAAAACCGAAGCGGAGAAGCCGCGGGGGCGAAGTGAGCGGTGAATTTTTCAAGAGGGGCCTGGTATTCGAGGGAACCCTGTTTTTTGGGTGGTGTTGAAGGAAAACCAACAGGGAGAACCACCCTTTTGGGAGGAGGGCGTTGTTCCAGAAAGACAGACCTTAATAAAGGGAAGGGCAGCTCACACCTTTTTTGGTAGGCAACCCTCAAACTTGGTTCAGACCATCAGTTTTGCCGTTTGGGTGGTACAGGTAAGGTAGGCCGGAACCATCCCGGATCTCGGATAGGGGTAGCTCGCCTGACCCCAAACACATCTTTGTACCATGTGGGAACCTTCGATCATTTGTTTCAAGGGGCTCTTTCTCGGGCGCCGTGACTGTTCTAGCAAGATGGTAGCTAATCCCTGTTGAACAACTGCAACAAGGATCTCTCTTCTTTTGGGGGTACCCCTTTTGAAGTGGTTTTAAGCGGAAAACCAACAGGGTTTTCAACAGTTGCTTTTTTTTGGGGGGGGGGCTCCAACCTAAAAACAACGAGCCGCCATAGCCGCCCACAAAGAGGACCACCCCACCCCCACCACCCCCCAGCCCCAGCCCCAGCCCCCCCCCTGCCGCACCAGTCCCGCCGGCCCTGGCCTGCGCGGCATCTCCAGCAGCAGCTCCTCCGCCGAGCGCCAGGCCACGGACATGCTGCCGAAGCTCACCTGGACGCCAAGCTGACCGTCGCAGGCGTGACAGGCCCAAGAACCCCCCCCCTGCCATGGACACACCTAGAGTCTATTTTGCAACCAAGAACCCTGAAAAACCAATACCCTAAAAGATGGAGGTCGCCAAATAGACACCAAGTGTCCACCATACCCCCCCCCGAAGCCAAATGGCAACCTCCATTTGCGGATACCTGGAAGCCAAAAAAACATGTCCAAGAGTGATAGATTCCCTTTGAAACCAACAGTGGACAATGAGCAACGTACAGGGACAGCCAATTACAGCATGGTCGTACCGGCAATGCTAAGCATATCAGGGGACACCAGGGTACTGCTCACTCAGAGGCAGCCGCTTGACCCTCCTTGATCCCGAAATAGAAGCAAAGCAGCCATTAGAACCGCAACATCAAAATAGGTGGCACGTGGATGTGCCACGCCAAAATGGCTCGCCATAGGTTATGCAACCCATGGCCATACAGTTCCACCATCTTAGAGTCGACCTTCACCAGAGGGGCTCTTCATGGTGCATGTTTCCTTTCAATTCGCCAGCGGCGGTACGAACCACCAGAAGCTGGGGGGAAATGTGTCCGATGGCGGATTCCGCTTGGCTCTGCCCTTACCGACCAAAACCCAGGGGTCACGGTCCCACCCCCCAAGCAAAAAACAAAACGCCTGGATGGCCAGTGTTTTTTCCCATGCACTTTACCCCAAACACCAGCATCAGTGACTCAAAAAAGGCGATCGCAACTTGGCCATCTACCTAGAGTCTCCTTCCGACCCTTTAAAAATGGGGTCATTACCCTAAATACTGGGGTCACGGACCTATTTTTAAGGGTCAGAAGGCCACCCACCCACCCACCCTCCCTCCCACCCACCCTCCCACCCACCCAGCGCCTGGTCCGGCTCCAGGACGCGGCAGGCCATGGCGCGCAGCAGACGCAGCGCCTGAGCCCAGGCGCCGACCGCGGAGCGCAGGGCCGCGTTGAAGCCCGGCAGGTCCGCCCCAAGGAGCCTGGGATGGCCGTGGCCGTGGGACGGAGGCCCTTTGTCACCTTTAAAGGGGGGGCCAAAAACATGGGGTGTGTCGCAACATAGAATATATACCAGGCCCTTTTTTGGATGGTGGGTTTGTCTTGGAAACCAGAAGGAAACCACATCAATTCCTGAGTGGACTGGCAAACAAAAAGCAAAAACTCTTTGTTTACCACTAAACTGGTCTTCCGGAAAAAAAAAAAAAAAAAAAACTCAAGTCCAGGAACTCAGGGAGTGAGTGAAGGCATTGGAGGGGTTCCCAATTTTGAGAAACACCCTCCTCTTGTGCCAAATGGCTTCCTGATGGGTTGTAACATCTTTTGGGGAGATACGGGGAACCCAGAGCAGACTCAAACCCAGGAATTGGATTCCCCGTGGGACCAACTTATGTAACTGGGTTTGAGTCAGAAAACTGGGGAATAAGGCGGGGCCGAGCGTGAGGGAACATGTGGATGGGAGTTGGTGGGTTGTCCCAGTCTTCACTTGGGCCTCAGCGACCCGAAATCATAGCTGGGGAGAAAGTCGATAGCTGGAAGCAAACGGTCAACCAAAAGGAGAGAACCACCTCAAAAAACGCGCGAGCCAGTCTAATATGTAGTATGTCCCCTTTCTTCATGAAACTCAAGGGAAGCTCAAACACTGGCATTTCTTGTCGCATATCACAGCTATTGGTCCCTTGAAAGGAATCCAACAACTAAACCCCTCATTGTGGGACATGGGGATGGGTTGTCTGTTCTGAACCCCCGCCCCCCCCAAAAAAATGGCGGCACTCCTTTTGGTGTCCCTTGAAAACCAAAGCCAGCGGCTGTTGGGCATGTGATTTGTGATACAAAAACAAGCCAAAAATCACTGGGGGGTGCTCTCCTGGAACCTTTTGGGGGTCCCAACTCAGAACCAGACCTTTCCACTGCCGGGCTTCTGCTCCTGGCCCCGAGACCTCCAAAACTCACCCAACTTGGATAGGAACACTGGGAAACTGCTTGAAGGTCTGGGTGCAAACGGTCAGTGACTATTAGTATTCAGAAAAAGGAAAAACAAATTCCATTTCTCGTTGGGGGGACAAAACAAACAAATCACGTGGCCACTTTGAATCACTCAGTGAACGAAAACACACCTTGCGTGTTTGAAGCGAACCCGCCGAAACTGAGGTCTGCGCATGCACAACGCCTCCTTCCAGTGCTGGGCTCGGCTGCACAAATAGGCTATGCAGTTCCAGGTCACTGCATCCTGGGTCACAATATGAATCGATCGGCGAAAATCAGAGACCGAAGCATTGCACACGTGATTCACCTTGTGCTCATGAGGTCATTTGGGTTGAAAGTACTTTGCAACTCCATTCTGATGATATGCTTCGGCCTGCCCTTGTATGTCTCAACATGGGTGACACTGCTCGAAACCAACTAGGTGACTTGTAGTCAAGTCAATGCGTGACAGGGGTACATGGTTAGAATGGATAGAATCCTAGGTTCATTGCAGGGCATCTGTTCTTCCAGTGATCTGATAAGAATTCCGCACCATGCTAGGACGGTTGTCAAGTCTTCACCTCCTAAGACGATTTCAGAATCTAATCAACGGGGGAACCGGTTCAATTTCTTTCATTCAGTACTCTTCAGAAAACGACCCGTATATATGGTCCAGGGTGGCCGTGTTGCTTCTCAACACTAGATGACAAGTAGCTGGACGTCCAAAAGGACCCCATTAGAACCTTTAAGAATAAATCCTTACGTTCATCATTAAAAACAAAAAAACTGAAGCCAGCAGCTTCGGAACCTGCCCCTGAAACCGCATGTTCCATTTTGGGCCATTTGCGCCACCGGGAAACCAGGGCAAACCATAACGTTTGTTGGTATTTGCAGGGGAAGCATCAGAAACCAGGGTTTCTTAGGTTCTTAGGTGGGGCAGCGAATCATTCCGTTGGGTTTCTGAACGGCGGTGCGGTGCGAAATGGATTTCGCAACAATTCACAGTATGGACGCTTTGTGCGGCAACGGACCCCTTCTCTGCATAAATGGCCTGGCCTTCCTCACGGGCGAGGCCCCGTTGGTCACGTTGCGGGAGAAGGGTTTGCTCATGATGGAAACGATGGCTCATTTAATTTACGCCTGAGACCTGAGAGGCTTTGTAGCCTGCTTGATGTGGGAATACATTCCTTTCATGATATCCCCCCAAGTCCACGAAGAACGGGTTCCTGAAGAACTGGTCTATTCAAGCCAATGGTGAGCCGGGGAGTGGAACCAAATGCTCCCACAACGGCGTTGGCCAATTTCTGGGAGAGTCATTTGCAATCCGGTCCTTTTGCGGATGGATGAGTCGCCTGCAGGCAAGCCGAATTCCGAAGCGCCCAGGAAACAAGGGCGCCCTGTCGCAAAAACCAGCGACCCCGCCTGCATTGTCCCTTTGCCGACCCCTTTAGTTGGGTACAATTACGGAATCCTCAAGCGGGATAGGTGCAGAGGGGGTGGTGAGTAGTTGAGAGCCTTAGAGTTCCCTGCACCTGCCTAGCGTTGCCTAGGGTTCCTCAGGGAGCCTACACCCTCCCTACCCCCAAGTCCTGGCCTGGCGCACTTGCATAGCATCGAGGATCGCCGAACCCAGCTCCCAGGCCTCCCGGGTGCAAAGATCTTCTTCCCCGGTTTTTCCGACGATTTTTCTGGCGCTGGAGGCGCCAAAGTCACCAACCCAGAGGGTCCCTTGGTACCTTCTGAGGAAGTACTGAACGAACCCTTGTACCCCCCAAAAGCCATTCTCATGAGGTACCAAGGGACCCTCTGGGCAAACGTTTGATTTAGAGCTCCTCTTCCTTCACCAGCGTGCAAACGCTACCCGCTGTTCCCGATTCAAGGGAATATTGACTCGCCAAGTTGGCTTCCTTGCAGGGAATCTCCAGGTTCATTCCATTTCTCATTCCCTACTGAACACCAGCAAGTTCTGTGCCATGTGCGTGAAAACGCGAATCACCACTGAAGCTCTTCCCGCCACAAAGCCGGATAGTTGGCCATGGGTCAAAATCCAAATTGTACCCCCAGTGAACATCCCAATCCAACCACTAAAATAGGTTCTAAAATGGGTGGTGTCACCAAGATGCACCTGCTGGCACCGCTGCAATTGGCGTCTAAGAGCCTAATAGGCCTAGGGTTGTCGACATGTATCCCAACTCGCCCTTGGAGGAAGCATATCCCTGGCTGGCATACCAAGTGGGCGCCCCATGCCCATAACTACTTAGTAAACTGCTTGCTCACTTTGGGATTGCCCCTGGAATATGGGTCTGTCTTTTTTGAGGGGACCCTTTTTGGGGTTGGTTTAAAGGAAAACCAAAAGGAAGCCCACCATTTTGGTGGGGGGTCCCATTAAAAAGGGCATGCCCATATAATAATACTACAGGCGCAACAACCTAACCCCGAAATTTCCGAAGAGGAAATCGGAAATCATCTCCCTGCTCCTTCTACTGCCCCCAGTTACTGCCCCAGTGATTCCATTTATCCGTACCCAACAAATGGCGGAGTTCCCCCAAACCTGTTGGTTTCCTTTTAATTTCCCTTTCAACCCTTGGCATGGTGGCAAAACAAAAACTGTTTCTGGCAACCCCCTACTAAAACAATCCAGAACCAAACAGCCTTACAACCTGGAAACTAGCCAACGACAGAGAAGTTTGCCTAGGTCCTCCAGTAGAGAGGTTAGAATAAGGGTACCCTTTTTTCTGTAGTTTATTTTAGTAGGGGAACCCTAGTTGTTTCAAGGAGACCCCAGGGAAACAACGAACCCTGACAACAAGCAGCAACGCGCCTGTTTCTCCTTGAGCCAAAACAAAATGAGTTCATTCATGATATGGATACGTCAACAGGTATACACATGGCGGCAGCACTCATGATGGTCCGTGAATCTTCAACTCCCCCCTCTGGCGGCATGGGGTAGATTCACAACGAAAGCATACACATTTGATCAAGCATAGCGGGCCACTCCTGAGGCGTAATGACCTTAGTCAAGCCGTTTGCAAGCTGGCACTTGGTATGGCAGTACACAAGGTCAAAGGCGCCCTCCTCCAGCAAGTCATGCAACGAGGCTATGTTGACACGATGCACTCTCGGGGCATGTCGAAGCTTTGCTGAGTAGCCTGCTTGTATGATCTTAATGATGGTTTCGTTGTCCTGTTGACATGTGATCTTGACTGACTTCTCCATGCAGTGTTCCATATACTCTTGAGCATGCAAAGATTCTCCAAACACGCCTGATGCAAGAGCAATGGCCTCCGCTTCGGGAGTACTGCGTGCAGTACTGGACTGCTTCTTAGAGCTCCACAGAATGGGGAATTTGCAATTGCCGGTCTGCATTACATAAAAGATACCTGAAGTGCTTTTGCTGGTGTATGGGCACGAGGCAAAATCGGCGTCGGTATACACATGCAGCTCTGGAGTTGCAGTGTGGTCGACTGATCCGACTAGCACTAGATTGATGGTACTTTTAAGATACGACACTAGTCGCAGCAACTGCCTATCTTCCCATCTAGTCCATTTGGTCACACGAGCTGCAAGTCTTGTAACCGCAAAGCATATGTCTGGTCGAGACAATCGTGCACTCCACAATGCTTTCATGAGAATGCGTGCGGCACAGGAATGAAGTGACCCTTGGGTGGCCAACTCTTCACCCGTCATGCTGCTTTCCACATGGCATGGGGTAGGCACGGATTTGAGTTTCTCTCGTGCGGTTCCAGACAGTTCACAGTACAAGTCAACAACCTGAGATACATATGGCCTCATATCGAACAACATGTTAGTTTGTGCGTTTAGGCTCTGTATACTGTGTGTGCGACCTAGGATACGCAATCCGTGGGCGTCCACGTCTGTCTCTGGTTCGAGGGTAACCTTTCTTCTCAGTGCCGCCCAGAAGGCTGTGTGCAGGCGCCTGGGACCTGATAATGTCAAGTCATCAACGTAAACATTAAGGACAAGCACCTCCTGCGACTCTCCCCACCTAAACACAAAATTAGAAGGGTAATTATGCATCTCAACCCCTCCAAGGGATACTAATCTCTGCCTGAGATGTTCCTCCCATTGGGGATGCCCATACAAACTCTTCTTAAGGCGCACCGCTACTCGGTGATATCGGCCCTCCCAATTGGGAAGCCATAGTTCCCGAGGTAAGATTACCCAAGCTTCTTCAAACGATCCTTCATCGAGGTCTGATTGAAGGAATGCCTGGACGGCATCTGCCCCGGAAGTTTTGCATCCGGCTCTACAGCCAAACCACAAACAAAGGTTCAGTGCGACGAGACTCGTCGGTGTCGTGCTGGTCTCATCAAAGAGGATGATTTGATCATTCTGATCCCGAATATTATCCCCCCTATACACTATTCGACCCTTGTACTTCCAGAGTTCAGGACTGAGTTCGTGATGCTTGATGCCACACAACGTGAGAAGGTCTGCAACCTTCACGCGAATGCCTTGCGATCGAGCACGAGCCTTCAAGACTGACAACTCCGTGGCGGTCTCATCCAACCATGTTTTGTTAGCCCTTAGACCCTCAGCCTCCTTCTTGACTGCGGCTACCCCCCTTTCGTCATTCAACCACACACTGCGGGATAGGGACTTTGTCACCAACCCGTAAGGGCGATCTGACATGTCGGGAATGAAATTGTAGTATGCCTGTGGGTACCAGGCCTCAACTACCAAGTCCGTCATGCTCTTGGGATAGAACGCAGTGGTTTGGGTTACGCTTCCTTCGACTGGTTCATGAGTGTGGCTTTTGTCACACTTGTACTGCTTGAACAATTCAATGAGACGTTGATCATTTGTGGAAACATACCATGGTTTCGAGACAAGGTGTTGTTTGCCCCTCAAACCAAACATGCATCCATTGAATCTCACCCTTCGTAGGTTCATGGATTGCTCAAACTCAATCCATTCTGGCAAATTCCAAAGCCCCGAGCTAGCAGGCCACTCTATGGCTATGCGACCCCCCTGTTGGCTCACATACTCCAACACTTGCATCGCAAGTGCAAGCATGTACCTGGCTGCCTGTTGTTCAGCAGTAAGGCTAGCCTGGTATTGCGAACCATAGAGGTGAACACACATGGCTTGCCATGGTGAGAATTTCGTGCATGGAAGTGACATCCACATGTCGCATCCAGGCAGCATCTGATTGATGACCTGTTGCACATCTTCGGGCTTAGACAAATCTACCAAGGATTTTGACAACCTGATACACTGAACCCCATACTGCTCACACGACACACCTATGTTGGAGTCCTCTGAGCAAGCATACTCAAACAACATTCCTTTGCCAGGCATATCCTCATTGCTTGACAGTCTCCTCCTGCGACACAATGCGAGGGATTGTTCCACGAACGGTCGATCAAGAACAAGGAAATCCTTGGATTTTCCCGGCATGGCTTTCATCTTCCTGATCTCCTCGGGTGGCAGGGTGCCAACGCTCGAGAGATCAAGTTCTTCTCCTTCTGAGCTGCCTACATACTCGGCTCCTTCCGTGTCGTGATAGACACTCTCTTCTTCAGCAGTTGGTGGTGGCAGTGGAACAGGATCCTCTGGAATTGGCGTTCCGGGCATCGGTGTGCCGGGAGCAGGTGACGGTGTCGTTGGCGATGCCTTTCGTGTTGCAGTGGCAATGCGATCGGCCTTAATCAAGGCATCAAATCTGGCTCGACATTTTGGATTATGGGTAGTCCCTTCAAAAGAGCATCCTTTACACCCTGGCGTTGCACCAAACTTAAACACACGCTCTAGTGTGATATATTCAGCACGTTTCCTGATGGGCGTTGATGGCTCAACGGTTGAAAAGGGAATATCCAAGGCTGTCACATCGGCTAATTTGACGTCCCTGAATTCCGTCAATGCTTCTTGTGCAGCTGTGTGCAACGGCAGCACCGGATCACCAGGTGGGACATAGATCTCCTCTGTAGGTACTGCTATGGCATCCCGATAGCCGAGTGATCTCTCTTTCAGCTTATCATACTGGAGCACTAAAGCAACATTCTTATACACAAAACCTTGTTCAAGCCTCCAACCTGCAAAGAGTCCAGGAGCGGTCGATGCCTGAAACTTATGCCTCATGGCTGGGTCATGAATACGGAAGTGTACAAGTTGGCCTAGTAGGAGTTTATGCCCTTCATACGGTTTTCCTGTGGCCTTCTCAAACCTAGTGACCTCATCCTCGGCCTTTGGCACGGTGTTGATGACGAAGGCCGCATAGGCTACTGAGTGTTGCCACAAGTCTTGGATCACATGAAAACCTGCTTGTAGATGACAGGCACGAGTGACCTCTTGGAGTGTGCGGATCTGCCGTTCCAAGCAGCTGTTATGAGGCCACCTGTTCTCCAGGCTTGCCTCAACTGCCCAGCCAATTTGTGCACAGGCTGATGCAATCTCAGGAGCACCATCTGCCTTACACAAAACCATCGGGTTCTTGTGATAAGCAGCACCCACAAATTGCAACAAATTCCTTGCAACACGATCAGCATGTCTCGAGGTGATATATGTACGAATGGCAAGGGAAAACTCATCCATGACAACCTGAACGGCAGCTGCGTCCTTGTTTACAATGATGAAATCAGTTGAGACCCTTTCCCCAAACCTTGTTACCTCCTCAAGAGCACCACGTTCTTCAAGACGATCCGTGCGTTTTGAAGTGGTCCTACGTTTGTACATGCGTGACCGCTGGCAGATTTCACACAACGGGTTCTTCGGCATATGCAACATTTTATGTTCCATACTTTGTGCATCGCTGAGCATGCGAGCATGGGCTTCAACGCCAATGGGCGGAGCCTCAAAATCACTATCTGCAGCTAGCACGATTTCACCGCCGGCAGGATCGGGTGAGGACACTGGCTCTGGTCGCGCTGGCTCCGAACCTAGTGCAGGCTCAGGAGGAGCATCGGATCGTGGCACAGAATCGGGACCGTCCTTCGATCCAGCAGCTCCGCCAGTAGGATGGAAATCCTTGTCCTCTTCACCATGCATATGGGTGTCAAACTTGACTGTCACACCCTCTTTGGACTTTGCTGCTGCAGAGTCCTTTAGCACGCCTGCAGTGGCTGGCACAAATTGGACTTGTTCTCGGAAAACTGGCACAAAATCTTCAACCCTGTCTGCGATTTGCGCGGCACTAGTATCAAATGCATATTGAATATGATCGACGGACTCAAGGAAACATGGCAATTGTCCTGGAATCCAGAGGAAAGGCTTTGCCTGATTCTCCACGATCTGACCTAGTGAACGCACAATTGGGCAATTGCTCAACAAGTATGATTCAGATGTCCCCGAGTCGTGGCCATGGATGCCAACGGAACTCTTGGAACATGTCACTCCGTTGCCAGTCTCAAAAGATAGCGGAGTTGTCTCCTGCGTAGCATTTTCGACGACATGGACTGGGATTCCCTGTTGAACAAACGACTTAGTGCTAGACAAATTACGGCCTGCACCACTGTCAGCAATCCACTCTAGCATGTAGACTCCCGAGGAGTCCTGCATTTTACAGGCATGGCGGGGTGGCTGACTGTGGCCGGCAATGCACTGGGTGCGGTTGTGATAATGTCTGGTGTGATGAATGTGGCAAAGGCCGTGGTTATCCACGCCAAGAATCGCATCGGGGCACCGAATGCATGCTTCACTGAGCTGGTCCAGCTGGCCCGGCTGGGACGCAGCAGTGTCGCAACAGTGGCAGTTACCTTTGCAGTGGAACTCGGTCCACTACCACTGGACGGTGCGGCTTTGGCGGCAGCAGCCTGCGCCTTTGGCGCGGGCGATGGGGTTGCACCTTCGTGTGAGAATGGACAATTATCCCCTCGGTTGCAAGTACCCTTTGGGTAGAACAAGCATGGAGCCTTTGGCCTCTCGCTGCCTGTAGGGTTCTTTGAACCCCCAGAACCCTTTGGATTCTGCTTTCCCTTTGCTTCATCCTTGTCCTTGCCTTTGGCTTGGTTGCCTTTGCCCTTGGGTTTGCTTTTAGCACTCCCTTCGCCAACCTTTGGCTGGCTCTTTTGACCCTTCGAGCTACCAACCTTTCCAGGTGCAGTATCCTTCTGGGTCGCACTGGCGACAGCTGCAGGGGCGATCTGGTTCACACCATGGTCCTGGTTAGCCTTTGGCTGATTCTTCCCGGTTTTGAGGGGGGAGCTAAGTGAATCTTTGATTACCTGCTCGTTGGCGTCCTCTCGCAATTCGTCGAGATGCTCTTTGAGCTTTCGGAACAACCATCCCCAAGTGCGATACCTACTGCCCTCCTTACTGTCCTTGATTTTGTCAATATGTCTCGACATGGATCTGCACCTCTTGAGTCTACCAAACAACCATGTATATTTGGTCATCTCACTTGGCGCATGCTCTGATGAAATTGCATTCAACACGAATTCAATGCGGTTCACAAACTCCCTCATGGCCGTGTATGTGAACGATTCCAGCGGGATTTCAAGGAAGGACGTCATCGTGAGATTCGACCCTCGCAAGTTATCCAACCTATACCTGTTGGCCAGCACAGCGAGAAGATACCGCCCTTTGGGGGATCGACGGCTTTGCTGACAACCCTCTGCATACGCCTGGAAAATCATGCCAATCTCGCCCTTAAGGTGCTTGGGTTCCATAAGGAGAGACGCCAAATGTGCGTCCAGGCGCGGCAACAAACCTGAGTCTGTTGCAAAACGTTGGGCAGCGACGTCACCGATGGAATCAAAAGCCTCTAGCAACCAGTTCAAGATAACATCCCTCCCAGTCGCATCAATGCTGCAAGCTTTAGTGATGAAGGTATTCTTCCATCCCCTAAACTGCGCTGCATCATTAGGCAATTGCGGCACGATGACAAGCTGCAAATCCCTGCTCTTATACACATCCTTCTCTTCGAGAGGAACGTTTGACCCAACACCACCACTAATCCTCGACTGAGCAGAATGCCTGGATGCAGGACTACGATGACTACCACCACCACCGTCCCCAGACCCACCCCCACCTCCTCCTGGCCTAGAGCTGGATGAGGACGTTGACGAGTCGGATGGCTGGTCGTCTTCTGAGTCATGGTCCTGGGCGGAATAGGCAAACTGCTCGGCCCCAGGAGTATCCGGGTCTGGAGTGGGCAACACGACACTGGCGGGGGGAGAGGCGGCCTGCCTACGTCCCCTTGACCTGTGTCCTTGTTCACGCACACGCTGTTCTTTGAGCTCTTTCACTGTTTCTTGAAGCCCTTGCATGGTTTGCGTTACTGTGGCAACGAGTGCCTGCATGGTCTCACATGTACGATTTAGATCCGAGTCATTTTGGCGAGGGGGATCATGCGATGACCTAGATGCCGATGCTTGGGCTGCAAACACAGCTTCCTGAGCCTCACGACGTTGCTCTTGCAATTGCTGCATCAAGAGTTGCATATCAAGATGTTGCTGCTGAACCTGTTGTTGCAAATCCCGGTTCTGCTGTTCGAGTCGATGAATGGCATGCGCCGCTTCTTGTGACGCTGCCTGGGCCTGGGTAACATGAGCAGCAGCAGTATCCTGAATATTTTGTACAAACTCTTGAGCTTGTAGCTGAACAAGGGAAGACCTTTCTTCCACAAATCGTCTGGCTTGCTCTTGTGCATCCGAGACTTGTCCCTGGGCTTCTTGGCGAACCTGATCAAGGGCAGCTAACACTCTTTCGGGATCAACCCCTTGGAGAATCACCTGATTGAGCTGTTGATACAACTGCCGTTGGTCAAACAACTGATGATGCATATGTGCTTCAAACCTAGCTGATGGCACACCACTCTGAGGTCGCACAACATCTGGCATGAGCTCATCGCTGGGCTCGCTGTCACGTTGGGACGTGGGCCCTTGCTGAGACAATGCATCTTGGCCAAATGGAGGCATAGGAGCCCTGGGTACAATAGCTCCATCCGGAGTTTGGGGAACAGGAGGATCTGCTGAATCACTCTTAGGCCTACCAGACTCAATTGCAAGAGATCTGCCTCTGCTAGAGCTACTTGATGAGGACCTAGGCGTTCCCTTTGATGACTTTGTCATCTTTCGAACCGTCAATGCTCGTGACTGATTAGTAGGGTCCATTGCACTGGCACCTTTGGCGCTATCGGACGTGCTGGATACCTGCAATGATGATTCGTTGGATTCAGGTGGACTCAAACCTGTTGAGGCCATGTCTGAGAGTGGCGGGCTGCCAACAACTCAGATGCTATGCGATGGATTGCACAAAGTACTCAACAATCAAGGATCTACCTATCAAGGAATACAACAAGTGCCCAAATATGGATATGGTAATGATCAATTTGCCAACCCTGTATTGTGTGTGTGTGTGTTGTGATGACCCGCGGCAGTGACTTTTCTATGCCCTGCTTGATACGACTGCTCACACACTAAGCAAGCAGATCCCGGACAAACCTCTCCAGGTTGTCCCGCCTGGGATTGAAGCGATATGCCGTAATCACAGAATGGTCCAAGTTACAGATCTCTTGGACAATGGCGAACTTATCGTCAATGTGATACAGCGCCTCAAGCTCCTTCCCCTGCCGGATCAGCTCAGCCCAGAACTCAACAAGCGCTTCGCCTTTGCCAAGTTCACCGACGGGCTTACTAGTGAAGACAACTGCAACACCAATATCGTTAGCCCGTAGAGCGTCCAGCGCACCTCTGCAAGTGGAGTCCCGCACTGCGTAACTCAGCACAAACACGTAGATGCCTGAGTCTCGCATTGGATGACACTCCTCGCTGCAGAAAAATCAATATCCACCACGTTGTGGAAATCCAATGACACCACTTTCTTCCACTGTGAAGAAATGCACTCAGTCAATCCACTAATGGTTGTCCGAACCGGTGGAAAGAATGACGGCACAGGCGGTGCCGGGCCAGATGGCTTGCGCTTCGCAGCAGGAATAATCTGCACTGACGAAGATGGCACTGGCCGGGATTTCGCACTCAAGCCAACCACAGGCGCTGTCACAGGCGCCGGATCGGTCTCCGGTGAAGGAGGCCGAGGCCTACGCTTCACCGTCGGCCGAGGCGGCGGCGGTGGCGGTGGCACAGGTGGTGATGGCACAGGTGGTGAAGGCACAGGCGGTGGAGGCAAAGGCACAGGCGACTGTGGCCTTCTCCACGGCGGTACCTCTTCAGGTGCAATCGACAGCTCTTGTATTCTCCAAGGTGGGATCTCAGGAGCGGCGGATGAAGTGGCCGGCTGATTAGCTGCTTCTTCGTCCGATCCTTCCACCTCAAGAAGTGAGCAGTCACTGTCCGAGTCAACAGTTAGCGGCGGTATCACCGGGGCAAATCTCTCGGGATAGTTGCCCTCCTCCAAGAATACGATGCGATCCTGTATAGACTGCAAACGTCCCCGGGGAGATCGAGATTCCGCACCACCACCAATGACGGCTTGAAGCTGGACCGTGTACCGACGCAAAATGGTAAGGTGGATTGCTTTCAACCTCCTTTGCGCGGCAACACCTCCTCTGCCTCGAGCTCGGGCCAATGCAGCTTCCAACTCTGTATTTGCAATGGCTGGTGGCACACGATCACTCATCCACACACAGACAGGGCTTTGATCCTCGCCGTGCACAAGTGTCCACAAGTATGTTGCAAGTAAACACGAAGCACAGGCACTGAGTGTAGGTAGGTTGCAGGCGTGCAAACGCTACCCAGGTTGGCTTTCACGCAGATATATCCGGATTAAATGAAGATGTCGGTCACAGCACTTAGTGCAATGGATGTGCCAAGTACAAGTAGAGTCTCTGCTTTGTTGCAAGTACAGGACACGGGTCCGTGCAAGTCACAGTAAGATGCAGGCGGCTCAGGCTGCACTCAAGTGAGGCACGGGGCTATGGCTCGGCGAGTCACAGCAAATATGAAATGAAAGCAAAGCTTGAGTGAGTAGTGTTAACACTAACCTTATAGGCTGAGGCTGTTAACCAGTTGTTTCAAGGAGACCCCAGGGAAACAACGAACCCTGACAACAAGCAGCAACGCGCCTGTTTCTCCTTGAGCCAAAGCAAAATGAGTTCATTCATGATATGGATACGTCAACAGGTATACACATGGCGGCAGCACTCATGATGGTCCGTGAATCTTCAACTACCCTCCCCCAAAAACGGGTGAGAAAGGGCACTACTGAGGGACCTAGTTTGCGTTCAACCAATCCCAAAAAGGCATCCTCCCATTCTGGGGTGTGTTTGTGTTTACCTGGGATGTGGACTCTGAACTCCTGAACAGTTTTGTTTCTTCCGCCAGTTTCTTAAGGACCTTCGCACTCGTTTTATCCATCCGAAACTTCAGCTGAACCCGAATTCCCAATAAATTCACCCTTCAGCTCCTCTTCACTTCTTTGGTTTCTTAAATAGCAAGGTTGCTTAAGCTCCGATGCCCCCAGAGATTTAAGACGCCCTTTCTAGGCGGGGTACTGGGACCCCACGTCACCACCGGGCTCCATCAACTCGAGGTATGCCCGGGCCACCCCTTCCCCGAGCAAACACCTCCGCAAAAAGTTTTTGCGACTTCCAAGTTCCATTTCCTGCATGGGGTTAACCAAGGGAACCGGCCAAAAAGCAAAAGGTTTGACTGCCGAAGGGTCACCTGTGGTGGATTGCCTGGGATCGGGGGTGGTTAACCTTATCCTAGACAGATAAAAGATCCAATCCGGGAACCCAATCGCCAAGTTCCCTTCGCTCCTTTTTTCCTTGCGTGGTTAACTGTTCTTCCTCGCAAGGATCGACATGAGGCGGCAAATATTGGCGGCCGCTCGAAAAGCAAATCCGGGCAGTGCGATCATCACGCCCGGCATGGAGTTCACGATGATGCTGAGTCCGAACAGCTCGAAACTGAGGCCTTTGAGTCACAAGTTGCAATCTACTGGTGGTTTCCATTCAAACTGCCACTTTTGGAGGCACCAAAAACGATAAAGAAGGAACCCTCGTGTTGTTTTTTTCTGATTTAAACGAAGAACCGCACCTTAAACACCAGCAAAAAAAAGGTACCAGTGAACCGCCAAAGAGGCAGGACCAAAAGAGGCAGCGCTTGTCACTGAGGTACGTCCGAACGATGGCGTACTCGTACCCCATCTGTTTCTGGTGCACGCCCAGTACCTCTTCGGCATGGCAAACATTCGTGATGGAGTCCCTAAGGCTCAGAAAACGGTTTGGCGGTGGCTTTTCTGGATCCAGCAGCTCTGTAGGAGGTTAAAAGAGTATTAAAAGAGTACTGAAAAAGGACCAACAGGAGGAAGAACAGGTGAATTCCGCCAAAAGCGCATCCAAACCGATTTCTGGCTAAGGGGGGTAGTCCAGGGAAAGGAGTTCCCTACGGCTCCCCAAACAAACCCTAGGGAACCCTGAGGAATCCTAAGAGTCTCAACTACCCACCTCCTTCATACGGGATTCCGAAAATACGTCATGCCCCAACTGAAAAGCACTGACGCCGTTTCTACCAGCGGTAGAAGGAGCCCCATTCGAAGCAATCGGAATGAAGGAAAGAGCCAAAGGAAACCACCTGGACACCCAATGGACCCCCTTCCACTTTCCTACCCTCAATCAATTTTCAAGATCTAAGAACAGCCCAAAGCAACCCTGATGGGGCGGGATGCGAATTGCATTTGCACGCTTCCCATCTCCCACCTCTGAGAGGTACATCACGGATGTGTGGGCGAGAATCTCGACGATGACAATCCTTGCTGCCGACCCTTGCTTTTGTAGGCTGCGAAACGGGGTTTATGATACAACACGTGACATGGGAATGACCATTGTCTGCTTTTGTGGCCTGGACAAATGACCATCCTCCTGGATGGTGATCGTTTCTTCCCTGTTTGCAAATGATGGACACGCAAACAGGACATGGGAATAACTTCGGAATAACTCTTCTTTATTGAAGGCTTGGACAGGGGAAACCGATAGACACGCACACAAACAACAAGACGGCAAAAAAGGGAATCTGGAGAGTCCCACCAACATGGAACGAGAGTCCCACTAACATGGAAGCTGACAGAAGAGCCCAATCAAATGATCCTCTGAGAGTGGCAAGCTCATAATGAACATGGAACTCTGACCCTTGTCAAAAGGGTAGAACTTGGATCAAAAAGACTCAATACTGCGGATGGACGAAATCCTGCAGCATGGTGCGTTGGATGGATTGCGCAACCATCCAGAGTACCATGAAACCCTGGCTTTTGCTTTTTAGGTCCAAACATTTGCTCAAAGACACCTTCAACAGGTGTCAAACGTGGGACTGCATAGCGAGGTGTTCCTCTTCTTAGCCACCCGGTTTCTAAAGTCCACACGTGTTTTTTCCTTGTTCTAGCCACCACCTGAAGAAATACACCAAAAAAACATACAGATCAAAGGTTTGACGGTTTGGTTTTGGACAAGTCAGCTGTCACAAACCCAAAGAGAAAACATGTCTGCCAAGTGAGCTGGGCATCAAGAGCCGCAAGGTCCAGGCAACCAAAGGCGCCAAGGTCTCGCCGATGAAGGTGTTGCCTTCAATGACCGCCTGTGCCTCGAGAACAGAACCCCCCTTAGGTGGAAAAGCCCAGTAGCTTTGCTTTTGGACACGTCAAAGCGCCTCCTCTCTGGGATTGGGTGACCCGTGCGGTGGGTGCTATCAGATTCATTCAATGATTGTCTGATTGTCCTCTGGCGATCGGACTCGATCATGACCCGTCGAACGGGTCCCCGAAGAAGGGCCAACCCAACGTTTCGAACTAATGGGTAGCGGCCATCGCGGACAGGAAGTTTCAGCTTGTAGAACATTGACCATCGACTCATTAAAAGTGAAGCCTTGCAGGGTGCACAAAACCTATTTTACTCACCACGACTCAAAGGGTACTTACCACAGGGAAACGGAAACGCCCGTTCGAGAGTTTTCACTACCCAGAGGCTCCTGGGGCTTTCAATGGAAGACCCAGACCGTCCGTTGGACACCCCAGAGGGGTCTTGGGGTCCCAAAATTTCAAAACCTGGCCGATTTGAAGGCCCTAAATCCGTCGGGAGAGGTCTGGGTGCGACAAATCCAGTTGAGACAGCCCAACACCGAAGCGTCGCTTCGCTTTTTCTTCGGCTCCAGGCGCAGCGAAGTGGAGACATAGGCACGAGGACACGCGGTCGATGACCATATCTAAGTAGTAGCCGAGCCTTGGGACGTGGGACGGTCTCGAAACCTGACCAAACGGATTTGCCTGGAGTCTAGGTTCCGGTTTAGGCCAGAGACAGTTCAAGTTGCTCTGCCTCCAAAACTGCTTCCCCCCCCCCAAGGCAATGCACCCGGCCGCTCAGAGTGCGAGATTGTCATAAAGATTTATATAGCCCTTACTATACCCCTTGCAAAGCAGAACCCGCTACGACAGGGGTCACAATACAATATCAATCCCAACCGATTGCAGCATTTCAGTTGGAACCCCTTTTGAATGGCAACATGAGTCACTGCTATGATTGATCCCGACAATGGCGCCTTTCGCTGACGAAGCGGATTGCCTTTGTGATACAGTCTGCAATCTGTGAACAACATCTTGAGCAAAGGAAACTCAACACTCCTGGGAAGCTGCAAGTTGGGCCAAAGAAAATCCTTCGCAGTGTTTGCGCCTTGCTCTTTTTTCCGATGCAACAAAATACACTCTTTAAGTTAAGGCTGCTTAGTCACTTCGTTCATCTTTGCTTTTGGGAGGCGTAATTCTGACCTTGTGAGTCAGAATAGGAGGGGTCCCAGAAACCCAAAAATGGAGGTTGTCCGTTTAGCTTCCCTGCCAACCCCAAAAACGACCTGGAATCGGAGGTTGACACCAAAAGGTCAGGCCTGGTATGTTGGCAAAAATGGGTTGCAGGCAACCAAGGAGTTTGTCCAGGGACGCTAAATGAGAACAAGCGAGAGACAGCTCTTGCAACGCTCACATCCCCCTTTACGGGTAGCCCCCCCATAAACACACTCCCGCGCCCCCCCAAAAAAAGACGACAACAACACGGACTTTGTGGGCAAGTAGGTCAAAACTGGAAGTGTGTTTGGGTGATACTTTGGATGGCACCAGTTCAGGGCAGGGAAAATGGGTCCCCATAAATGGGTTGATCTCTAGGGGTCGCTTTCTCCCCTTCGCGGTGGGGATATTCATCCCAACTGCAGGATTTGGTTTTACTGACCCTGTCCGAGGCGCCGGGATTCTTGATTCAAGGCCCGCGCTGCATAGCCATCTACCTGGTTCTCGAAACGAAGCAGTTCCAGCCCATGACTTGTGTATACTGAGTTGCCCGAAGGACTTGGACATAACAGACTAGTCCTTTGGGGCTGTGACTGAAAGTGGACCAACATGGGAAAGAACCATATAATGTTGACCTACTGAGGGGCTGATCCCCTCCAATAGTAAGACTCCCCACCAAACCAGTGAAATGTTCGATGGACAAACAAGGGGTTTGTCAATTTGGGGGAAAAACAATAGACCAAAGAAAACATGACATCACACAACATACGCTACCATAGAATGACTAAACTAACACGTTTACACAACTAAGAGCAACATTCAAGCCTGCACGACCACAAAGGTTCAACTCCTGCAACGTTTGAGACTAGAAACACCAAGCTTCATCAACGCAAACGTTGAACACTCGGCCGTGGACAAAATATGGGTTGACAGAAACATTTGCTGTGCTTGGAAACAACAAGAAACATCTTTTTTGGACACACTCAATTATTTTACACCCAGACCTCCACCCGCGTCCATGTGAAAACACGGCACCTTTGTTTGGTCTCAGATCTCCTCCAATTTGGTGGTTCGATTGGTTTGGAGGTTTATATACCCTCTATGAGAACCAGGGTTCAAATCCAAATCCAAACCACCATACCAAAAATAATCAAGTCAGAATGACCTGATTTCGCGGTTGGTCTGAGTTTTCCTCAAAATAAGGGAACCTCGAAATTGGTTTTCTTGGTGTTCCCCTTTCAATCCATCCTAAAAAGACAAACCATCTCATTTGAAAGGGACACACCAAACAAATATACAATGGCACTGCTGGAGACTTGCAGGAAGTTCCGTGGGGGTCTTTGGGTTCTGAACGAACAAATGTTGGCTGCACGAAACTCTCGTCAGTGTTCAAACAAGTAAAGTGAAGGAAACACAAACCAAGCATTTAGCTACCTTCCTGCGAATGAACATGGAACATTTGAGGTGGGTAAACAACATTACGCAAAACATGGTTTGTAAACAACAAACGTTTTTTGCAGAACTCCCATCACAATTGAACAGAACAACCCATATCAAAGGCGAAACCTAACAACACAACCGACGCAAACGTGAAGAAATCACAGGCAAATTCAGCACCCAGTCCGCAAAGAAGAGTCACAACCAATGCGGGCCTCCATAATTGCGCAGGGGTTGCGGGCATCACAAAACCACATTTGGGTGTGGGTCAAACATAGGTACCCAAAACGGAGCCCTGGAAAAGGAAACAAGGACTAAAATCTGCGGTACCCTGGTGGTATAACTTGGACCCATACCCATTTTGCAATGATCAAGGTCCAAACAATACCTGTGGGCATGTAACGAGAACCCCGGCTTGATTTTGATCGGGGGGTGTCCTCTGTTAGGAATCCAGATCACTTATGTGGGTGCCCCCCCCCCATTTATAGGATGGGTTTATGCGAAAATTTCTCTGTCAGTGGTTGACCCCCCCCCGTGCCCCCCATTTATGGGATGGGTTTCAGTGTATCAATAGGGGGGTGTTCCCCTCCAAAAGTGGTCTGATTCCCCACTAAACCCAGGAACACCCCCCTATTAATAAACCGGTGTTCATTAATATGGGGTCAACATGATTCATCTGCATTTTCCCATCCCATTCACCTCCAGTAAAAATCCAGATCACTTCTCCGGGGCCCGACCTCCCCCCAAACCAACCACCCCACCCACCCCATTTAAGTTTCGGATGGGTCTGGGGTTCGGAGCCCTTCCCCTCCGAAACGGTTTTTTTCCTATCGGGTGCCGGACACAATCCAAGAGGTAGCTCACGGAGTACCACAAGGCGAAGGTCTGGCCGTCGGAGGCCTGCACCGCCCAGTAGAGCGTGAGGATTCGCCCGTAATCCAGAATGTTGGCGACATAGAAGAGCTCCTCCCATGGGAACCCAGCAGCCCAGAAGGGCGGGGCAAAACTTGCAACGCTGCGAGGACTCAGGAAGGTACTCCGCCCCAGGGATCAAAGGAAATTCGTACATGACTTCAATGATTCCCATGGATTCACTTTGAACCGCTCAAGAGGGCTTTCCCTTTCAGGGACCCAGAAATCAAAGTGAGATCCCAAATCAGGGGGCAACCCAGCGGGTCGACCGCTGGGGTGAAGAGCTCCGAAAGGTTTTCTCTCCGAACCCCGAGCGCTGGAAAGGTTGGGCAACTTGGCGCCTTCTGATTCGTTGGGTTACCTCTTCCCTGTCAAACAACTTCCACCCCTTTTTCCAGCCCCTGGGCTCCTTCAGGTGCATCACCAAAAGACCAGTCCTGTGCCACTGTGTCCGGTGGAAGACCTTCTTCAAAAAGCTTGAGCCAATCGCTCTCGCTGCGCGAGACAAAAAAAGAAAAGAAAAGCCACTGAAGCGGCAATTTCGCGAACGCGGGCAGGGTCATGGCCACGAGTTGTACTGGTTGGAACGGCCCGCAAACAAGTATTGGCCCCCGCAAAAGGGGTAAACGGAAAAATATATATATATATATATATTCAGGTGTTGCCTCATATGTGGCCCAATAAACTTGTTTGGGTTTGGAGTCCCCGCAAAAACGGCCGGTGGAGTCCACGGTTGAAAAGTTGAAAGCGACAACCAGATGAACAAATGCTGGACATAGCCCGTACGTGGCAATCTCAGGGCTCCAAACAATCATCCACTTGCCCGAGCATGTCTTCGACTTTGGTGCATATGTGAGTGTCATTTTGTTTGTAAGGCTCCCTCTCCATTTTCTGGTTGTTTGAAGGAAAGCCAAAAGAAAAACCGAAATCCTTTTTTGTTGGGGGGGAGGGGCGGTTGAACCCAAAAGAAACCATGATTACGCGTGAAAAATGTTCATGATTCTTCAGCGTAGTAAATACTTTTTTAAATGGTTCCCACATTTTTTAGTGACGAATCCACAAGGTTTTTGTGTTTGCCAGTGGCAATCATTAGGACAAAATGTCTATTTGGTATTGTAACCGTTCAAATTCATGGATGGACGGAATCCAGGTTATTTTGCACCACCTAAGAAACCTGGAATGATGATTCCCCTGTAAATTCCAACAAACGTTATGGCTTCCACCATGGTTTCATTTCGTGGTGCGAAATGGACTTCTTCCATCCAAAGCAGGGATTTGTCTCTAAATGGAACCCACGCAGAAAGGTGCACAGAGAGTTGTCCGTTTGGTTTCCTCCAACCAGCTCCAACAATGCTAAAAGCAGGCCAGCCGGATTGTGATTGAAGGACAGTCCCATAAATGGGACGCCCCCCCCTACTATTTCAAACGGCTTATTAGAATCACAGAGTTCGGATTTCCTGAGCAGTTGAGTCACATTCTGGGAACGCAAAAGGAGACAACCTGGCATTTTGATGTCCCGGTCCGATTCCCAACAAAGCGGCAGGCAGATCTGCGCCTCACAAGAGGAGATGAGCGTATTGCAGCTCACCAGATTGGATTCCACCTCCTGGCGGCAAAGAAATGGAAACACCCCCCCCTCTTGGGTTAGTGCGGCAGTTCCGCACATCCTCAAACAATACTTGGCCAAGGGGTGCACTGAAAGTCATATGTTCAGATTACGTCGCATACGTTTCGTCTACCCTAAAATACAAAATGGTACCGAAGGAGAACTCAGAATAAAGGTGGTTCACCTTGTTTACTACGACTTGTCTGCGCGGGGAAAAAGGTTGAAATCCGTACAAAAGAAAGGACACCGGATTCAGTTCACTTGATTTTTCTTAACGAATCCGCGTAATCTCTGGGGGCAAGGAAGACTTATCGACTCCTTGGTTGATCTGGCCACTGGGTTGATTCTCATCCCAGGTCCCAAAGTATCCCAAAGATACAGCGCCGCCCTTGAGCCGAAGCATGTGTCCAAACCACTTGGGAACCCATTTGCGCCCATCCTGTGGATGGACGAAATCCACTTCGCACCAAATTGAAGCCATGGGAAACCATCACGTTTGCTGGTATTTACAAAGGAATCATGATGCTAGGCCTCCAACCCGTAGCCACGTGGTTGTCTTTTTGGGAAACAAGTCCTTTTCGAGTGTGTTCAAAAGGGTCAACAATATGCAAACCTCTTGGCCCCATGTTGGGCGCAAGCCATGTTAGAATGATGGACGGAGCAAGCCTCCAAGAGCCCATATCGAGTCCAATACCAAAGGAATGTGCCTGATGTTCCTCTTTCAACATATGGGCATGTCTGTAATAAAGTCGACTTCCTATGTGCATTGCATTTTGCAATGGTGGTGTTCCTTTTATATTCCTCCTAAAACCAAATGAACACAAAACTGACATATGTCTAACAATGTCCTCTTCAATTTCTCACTTAAAAGTCGCTTGGGTTTCTCACCCTGCATCTCGGACTCTTTGGTTGGCTTGAGGGGTCGCCCTTGCCAACCATGGATGCCACTTTGAGACACTCCCATTTGTTCCATCTTCCAACCCATCTCCAGCTTCATGTTTGATGTTCAGATGCGAGCCCATGCCCATAGGATGCTTCCAAAACCCACCTGCTTCAACAGGAACTCCGGCTCCTGGCGCCCCATGCACTGCAGCACCTGCACCGCACGGCCCCAGCTCGAACCGCCGGAACCGTCCACGGGGCGGGACGCGAGGATGGCGTTGAAACCCACGGTGTCCACCTGCGGTCGCCGGGATTCCATGTGTTTCTTCGAAGCTTCCTGAGAGTTTTGTCAGAGTTTCCTGGCGTTTCCTCAAGGGTTCCTAGTGGAATCCTGGAGGTTCCTCAGGTTTAGGGGAAACCAGGAGGGAAAATGGCTCCCCAAAATTTATAGTTGCCCACATGTTGTTCTTTTCTGGGTGTTTCTTCTTGGAGGGTGCCCATGTTGAGGTTGTCTCAAAACGAAACGGAATCTGAATGTCTTTCGGGTGACCTAGAAAAACATGCGATGGTCAAAACACCTGTGGGTCATGCTCGTGATTCCTGCAATAGGACCCTTCGAATGGTTGCTTAAACGATGTGCTTGTGTGTGTTGTCCCCCCCCCCCACCTAAAACCGCTGTTTTCCTCTTGGTCTGCCTTCAGAACCACCCCCTGCCAACCCGCCGTATGTGCGATTCACAGGAACCCATATGCGCGCGCAGGGCACCACGTTCGGTTGGGTAGGGAAACCAAGAGTGAAACCAGGTCCCTTGTTGAAAGCCTGGGCTACGAGGAGGCTTGCCTCATGCCCGCCCGGGCACCATAATGGTGCATGTATGTATATATAAATAGAGATTCTATACAAATTCATAACGGGTTAAAAGCAGGGTTTCGGCGAATTGATACACACAAAGTTCAAAGGTAGTTTATGCATGCTCACGTCGTCCGAACGGTCCATATGTAGGTTCGCAGGGGTCAACAAAGCACTTGTGCAGGGCTTCAAATGACTATGCAACTATACACACATTATGCACATAAACATATGTTGGTGCCTCCAAGCTTGAAGGGGCTCAGAAGGGAATGCCAAGAATGGCTTTAGGGTTTCCTGGTGGTGTCCCTAACCAGGCTGAAAACGGCACCTCCGCATGTCACACAAATCCATATCCAACAGCGTGGTTTGGTCTCCCCGATTAGGGTGTCATTTTTGGGGGGGGTACCCCATTTCGGGATAGGTTTTAAAGGGAAACCAAAAAGGAAGACATCTATATGGGGCCCACATCCTAAACTGTAAATTGCAACCCGTCTGGCCGAACGGGCGGCTTCGATCGAAGCGCACCTCCAGGGTGTGGTCCATGGCCAGCTGCAGCAGGCGAAAGGTTTGGCGCCAATTGGATCGGCCAATGCCGCCCAGCACAGCGCCCAGGTGGAAGGCGTTGAGTTCCGATCGGCCCTGGCGCAAGGGAAGCTTGCGGCAACCCGGCTTTTGAGGGGTATAGACTTTTTTTGGGGATGGCTGGATGGATCTGGTCGGATCTGCTTGGATCCGGTTAGGTGGGATCATTGGGTTGGATGGATCTATCTGCTTTGCGAGTAATTTGGCAATTCTTTAACATGGTTTCTAGGAGGAAACTTTTGTGGGTTCGTTGATGGGTTGGTTGGTTGGCTGGTGGGGTTGGTCGGTTGGTAATCATTTCAAGTTTTGATGGCGCCGGTTGAGAGATTGGATCTATCTTGCGGGCAGGCGCAGGCCTTTTGCGATTTAGGGGTAACCAGTTGGTTGATTGGACGGACTGGTCTGTTTTGCGGGCCGCGGTCATTTTTTGAACTTTGGGCAACCCGAAGGGAAAAGGGGACCGGCCAGCCACACCACCCAACCGGCCCAAACATATATTCTATTCCTTGCAGCCATCCAAACATGAACACCACCAAACAACCAACAATAAAAAAACAACAATGAAATCAAACAGGACTAACAACTACCACACATGAACAGAACTAACCATACACGAGCCTAGCACCGCCAAAACAACTCGACCAACCCCCCCCCCCTCATTCGCCCCATTCGCCCCATTTGCCCATTCGCCAACCGCCGGGTTGAGGGCCTGGAGGCCATGGATGACGTCGATGGCGAGCGCTGGGCGCTCCTACCATCCCCGGGCACTGGCGCGCAAAGCTGGGAAGAAAAAAGGAAGCACCGGTATGGTATATATGTTAAAATAGGGGGGACCCCTACCGAAAAGATGTGATTGTCCCTGAGGTCTTCTTTTAACCACCACCCTCAAAAAAGATAGAAAAGGGACAAAGAACAAAAAGTGCGCTTGAAAAAAGACGCAGCCGCATCAAAATGGAGCTTAGGAACCTTTTGCTTTGGTCATTTGCTTGTTGGGTCGTGTAAAACAGTCCCGACAAAGCAGAAAAATAATTGGAAACCAAAGGCCCTCAAAACCGCTCCCCAGAAAGCTGCTTAGAACAACTAGGATATGGATGGCGGGCTTTAGTTCTGTTTCTTCTTTACTAGCCCCGGCTTGGGGCTTGACCCTGGCTATGGTTGGTTGGTTGGTTGGTTGGTTGGTCGGTCGGTAGGTCGGCTGGGCAGCCGCATCCGCAGCATCCCCAGTTGCTTAGCGTCAGGGCTGCGTGTTGGGCGTGATTTGGTGGTAGTTGAGAGTCGCTCGGGCTTAACAGGCCGGACTATAGGGCTGCCTGGTGGAGTTGATTTGGTGGCAGTTGGGTGGAGTGTGCTGCAGAGCCAAAATCAGAAGAAATAAACAGACACCGAAAGCTAGAGGAACACACAGACAGACAGATGAAAGACAGATGCAAATAGATAGGTGCAGGTAGACCAATCGATAGCTGGAAATTTAGAAAGCTGAGCTGCACACGTGGGATACCTAGCTTATTGCGCAAGGTTGGAAATAGTTGGCTGGCTTTTGACTTGGTAAACAAGTAGATAGCCAGATGCGGATAGATGAACAGCTATCCAGACAGATGCATAACAAGTCAGACGGATAATGATGAGTAGCAAGCCAGACAGCTAGCTAGACAAACACACACCTGGACAAGCAGCTAGCTAAACTAAAGACAGCTAGGCAAAGACACAGCAATATGCCGACACACAGATGGCAGTTAGTCAGCTATGCAAATAGAGAGCTCCCCGAGGGATGTGCTGCAGAGACAAACAGCTCCAACAGACCGGACAGAAAAGCCTTGAGAAGTGAACAGCTGAAGAGGTAAACAGCTAGACAGACTGGACAGAGAAGCCCTGAAGAGTGGAGAGGAGAGAAAAACAAGCACAGGTGATTAAACAAGAAGGGAACGGCGAAGCAAAACGGAAGGGAGAGGACAATGAAAAGCTACAGACATGAGAAGAGACAAAGATGACGTTCAGCACTTAATTGCACAGTTGCAGTGTTTTTGAGCTTGCGCCGCATGACTTTGCCAGCTTTACTAGCTTGGCATCCGGAAATGGGTTGGTTTGGCCTCATGCGGGATGGCCAACCAAACAGACGCAAAGTCAACGTCAACCCTCCCAACCGCATCCTGGATATCATCCCTTTTCCGAGCCTAAATCAAGCCCAGGCAAACCCCAGGCCCGACTTCAGCAAGCCCAACACTCCCCCCAAACCAGCCCTCTGAGCAACTCTCCACTAGGCAGCCCTCGTCCGAGTGGGGTGCGGCCGGTTAGCCCGAGCATCTTTCAACTACCACCAAATCGCGCCCAATACGCGCAAGCAACCGGGGATGCTGCGGATGCGGCCGCCCAGCCGACCGACCGACCGACCGACCGACCGACCGACCAACCAACCAACCAACCAACCATAGCCAGCTAAGCCGGGGCTGGTTAAGAAAAAGAAAGAAAACATTGGTTCCTGTGTTCAGGGGCAAACCACCCAGCAACGATCGATTTGCGAGTTCCACCATTGCCATGGCGCAAAAACGGGAAACAAAGCGGCACGATTTTCTGGCACCCGAGGGGTCGATGTCCTGGTTCCATCCTCATCCCCCTGACCTGACCAATTTAGATGAACAAGGTCAAGCATAAGTGTGGAAACAGAGCGTACTAATCCTGGATGCCCCTTATGGCAGTGGGAACAAACTGACCAACTTGCGAACATCCATGGACCTTGTTTCAGGGACTCCGTCAACACTTGTTCAAGCGTTAATATGTTTGTTTTTTTTGAAGAAGGGAGGGGTTGATGGGGTCCCTGGTTGCTGGTAGACAAATGGTAAAATGAAACGAGCACCAAATAAACCCCAATCAGTTTATCTTGCAGGTATGGTCACAACATGACCAGTCTCTCCTGCAGATCATCATGGAACCCCTAAAACATCTCTTGACCCCCTTTTTGGGTTCCATGTCAATTTCCAGAGAATGACTTGCCACAATAGATCTTAGGTGGGGTGCAGAAACACGTTCAAATGATCTATGGTCAAAATGACTTTTTCCCTCAAGAGGACGTGGGAATGATACCAACATGCTCATATCGTTTATTTAGGCTGTGCTTTTATGGGAACCCTGGATCTAGGCAATTTGCAATAAATCTTACCTCGTCACCTCGTTGTTAAATAAGGTTTTGGAGTGTGCGCCTCGCCTCGTTAAATCCGTGGTCACCTCGTCACCTCGTTAAATCCCTGGCAGCTCGCTAGGCCTGTTTAATGCACAAGTCATGTGAAAGTCATTGCTCACTCCGCTTCTTTTTGGGGCGGGGACATGGGATCAAAAATTGATGGCTTTCGGGCTTCAGAGGGAGCCTCTGCCAGAGACAGAGAGGCTTTGCCATCTCGTGCGTTCGCAGCACCCACAAGCGCAGAAGTCTTAGTCTTTCTGCGAACATACTTGTGCTTTTTGCTCGCATCACTTCGCACCGTCCGCCCGCCGCCCCCCGCCCGCCGCCCAGCGCTTATTAACACAAGGCCCGCCCGTCCGCTGGTCGCGTCGCTGACCTTGCCCCCAGACGCCACCAAGGTGTCGCCAGACCAGAAGACCAGGCTCTTTGTCGGGAAGCAGTGCGCGGCTGCATATAGCTCGAGCACGCTTTTCCATGTGTCGTCCATTGACACCTCAGTCTGCCAGAGCTCTGCCTGTCCTGGCGCGCTGACCATCACACGCACACTCATGGCGTGAACTGAGTGCTGCCCTGCAAGCCAAAACTGCAGGCACGCATGGTGCTCTCAAGGAGGATGCGAGTTTTTGCTCATTCAAGGCCGCTGATGCTCGCTTCCGAGTTTCTTGCTCATTCAAGGCCACTGATGCTTGCTTCCGAGTTTCTTGCTCATTCAAGGCCACTGATGCTCGCTTCCGAGTTTCTTGCTCATTCAAGGCCATTGATGCTAGCTCAGTTGTGTCAAAGGCTTTGCTGAGGGGTTGCCGGAAACAATGAGACTAGGGGTGCTCTGGGAAGGCTGCGGGAAGGCTACGGGAAGGCTACGGGAAGACTATGAGAAAAAAAAAACTTTGCAGGGCCCAAAAAGTTATTTTCCCCAACAATCACCTCTGACCGTATAAAATAACTTTTCAGGCCCTGAAAAGTTTTTCCTGCTGTGGGACCCTCTCCTGCTGCATCTACGTGTGCACCTCGTTGTTCTGAATTTAGTTAAATCACCTCGCTTAAAATTGCTCCACCTCGCACCTCGGCTGACCTCGCTCTAAATTGCCTAGCCCTGGATCCCCTTTTAGTCCGGGCTCACACCACTTTTTGGAGAGAACTCCTCCCTCATAGGACGGGTTTTACTTAGATCCGGGGTCAACATGAATCCCAACTTCAAGCTATGGTTATAAAGGATCCTTACTACCTGTCAACCCCAAGTACTAGGGTCGTTTGACCATGGCACACATGGGAATGATACCAACATGATTATAAGCTTGTGTATCGGTTTTACTGCTGTAGATGGACGAAAACCTGCACCACCATCCGGGAACCCTGAAACGAATCGATTCCCTGCAAATACCAACAAGCGTTATGGTTTCATTCCCATCGTTTCATTTTGTGGTGCGACTGGATTCCTGCGATCCGCAGCATTTGTCCAATTCGACCACCCGGACCCTCAAACTTGTAATCAGAAAGAAAAAACAAGTTTTGTGCTCCAAACATCCCCAAATTCAATCACCTGGACCCGCAAACTTCTAAAAAAACAAGAAAAACACGGTCTTTGACCCAACTTTTTGGGCTGAGTTTCCGTTTCTGTAGTTTGAGGGCCACAAACGTGCGCCCTGGACTCGGCGGCTGGAATTTCGGGACTTTCTCCTGCGCCAAGCGCCCCAGGAATTTTGTGAGCTGGCGGGGACTCAGCCGCAGCGCCTGGCAGGCGCACGACCACGCGTCTTGTTTTCAGCACGCTTGGGGGGGTTGCGGGGGTTGGGGGGTTAGGGGGGTTGGGGGGCTTGGGGGGGTTGGGGGGGTTGGAAGTTGAGGGGCTTGGGGTGTGTGGGTGTGGGGGTGTGGGGGTGTG